CTCCCACGGGCACCTCCTAGCACTACACCCGGCTGTGGCTGCCTTAGGCTTGTCAGGCCGGGAGTTCACCATTGAGTTCTTCTTTCGGCTTACTCGAGCAAGCCACTCACTCATCCATTGCTTGCTTCCTTCCCCATCATCCATCATCTTTCCATTGTTCCCTCATCTCGTATGTTCAATCACTTACCTTACTTACCAGATAGATAGTATCACCCTGAAAGAACTTAGATTTTCTTTCACTTTCTTCATCTTCATCTTCACCCTCCTCTCGCCAGCATCTTTCTGATCAGACAATCGCAAACTCGCGTGGTCTGCACTCTCTGCACTTGTTCACACTTGTTCACAAGTGGGGATTCCGTTCATATCCGCTCTTGTATGGGGTGTGTCTTGGAGTGGATTGGTATCAATCTTCCTCTGATTTGTGTGCACCGGAGACTTCTCCAGTGTCTTGCGTCACACCTTCTTCCATTCTCAAACGGGTGACGATCATAGCTCCAGGGTCTCCGGGTTACTGTGCTTTGCTGTAAGCAGTGCTCTTCTGCTTCAAATCTTCATTTCATTCTGATCAAATTTCTTGTCACTGAGACTGACCCCTCAGTCATTCTCAACCCCTCCCCCTTGATCCACTGTCAAATTTCCCAGTTTTATCAGTCTGTGCTTTCCAGCCTTCCATATATTAGGTATTGCCTGCCCTCCCGGTCCTCGGTCTGGTGGCCTGTGGCTTCAGGCATCAAGCTCAATTGACTTGAGTTTTTTCCTTCTCTGTCTCTGGTTCTATCGAGCTTGCCGGGTGCTGGTGTCTTATCTGGAGATCTTTTCGCCCCTCGGGCTTTTGTCGTCATCTTCTATAGCTTTCTGGCCTGGTGCCCAAAATAACCTTTTTTTTTTCTTTCTTTTCCCAATCCACCAACCTTTCTTTTTCTTGTCCGTGTCTTTATTTTTCCCGGCAGTGATTTCTACCTCTCTGATTGCTCCCATTTTATCCTCTAGGACGTCACAGAGTTTTTGTGACCACCGACATTGTCATCCATCTGCTTTGTTTTCCCGGTCGGATCTCGCTTGTTGCTGTCTGCAAGGGTACAGAATATGGGTCCCGCTGTGCGTTACCGGCCCATGTCTCCCAACGGCTCGCGTATGATGGATCCCATGCGCGCCTCCACCGGCACTGTGCAGCTCAGTTCTTCCTACGATCCATACGATCTCACCAATCGCTCAACACACTCAGGCTATCACCCTGATGTCAACTACATCCCATCCTACGATTCACGACATGTGCGAGAGCCGCGATTGGAGGCACAACCGATTTCCTCAACAACGTACCGTGACCCCGGCCACTCGACCAAATTAAGGACCGAATACGCTATCCGCCCGAGGCAGAGGAGCAACACCGCATCCGCCGTCGAAATTCAGTATGCTCCCGGTCGATATGAGGCTTCTGGTTCTCCTCTATCCAGGGCTTCTCCCGTGATAGTTCCGGGTCATCACCGGTCTCCAAGCCCGCAGCGAGCCCCGGACCGCTACGTGGTGCCCGCAACTTCGCACAGACACCACCGACGTCATCAGCCTTCCAGCACCGATTATGCAAGTGATACTGGCCGTCTAGACCTGACGGACAAGATGGCTATGGCACGGATCCCCCACAATGCCTACCCGGCCTATGACCACAGTCCTCGCTTGCGTTATCCGCCGACCGGGGGTCTTCGAAAAGGAGAAGACATTGATGATTATGATGCCTATTCCTACACCAATCCTCGTGAACAATTTGAGAAGGACTCTGCTGCCAGAATGCGCCGTGACCAGCGTGCTTATCACAGGGATAGACCCCTCAGCTTGACTGGCCCGGATGACCCTCAATTGCAATCAAGAAAGGAATCCCGGGCACTGGGTCCACCTCCATCACAGAGAGGATTTGATCGCATTGACCAAGGAGGCCGTGTACGCCGCTCAACCTATGGTTCGGCTGATAGCGATGTGGAGAGCTCGAACGCTCGACGGCGGTCACTGCAAAGAGTCCCAGTTTCCGTGCACCAGGACCTTGATGAGGGTTACTCTTCTTACCGGTCGGAGCACGAAGATCATCGTCATCGTCGCCGCCGGCATAGACGACATGATGACGATCGGTACTCTCGTGACGATCGTTCATCACGGAAGTCCTCATCCAGAACTTCAATCATTTCCGGGACGAGCACTGGGCTGGGAACCGCTGTTCTAGGATACCCCGATGACTTCGACTATGGGCTCTCCCCTCGGACCGAACACCATCGTTCCCGTGAAGCGGGTCATGAGGATGAAAACAGGCGACATCATAGTCGATCCCGGAGGCGACGGTCCCGACGTCGTGATGAAAGCGACTCCGATTCCTATACATCCGACGAGGACTTGAAGAAATACCGACGCGAACCGTCGGCACATAGAAGGCGAGATGGCTCCGACGCGTCAGCGAGCAGCAGCGACCGGGTATCCCAGTACCTGACTGTGAATCGCGCTCCTCGTCCTCGATCTCAGTCGAGACGTCGTACAGAGGACACGCCGGCCAAGGATGGTACCAGGCAGGAAAGACTCAGCTCCCCTGATGAGCTGAAGAAGCATGAATCGGCGGCAGCGAAGGATCAGGATCCCCCTGCCCCCAAGGGTATCCTGAAGCCGCCACGTGCCAAATTTCCCGAAGAGCCGAACCCTGTGCGAGAAGGCGTGGCACCTCTGAAAGATGCTCACAAGAAGGGCATTCCTCCAGGGGCAAGGTGGACAAAGATTGATCGGCGACTGGTCAACCCTGCTGCCTTGGAACTCGGTCGCGAACGTTATGAGGAACGTTCTGAATACGTGATTGTTTTGCGTGTGTTGAGCAAGGAAGAGATACAGGCATATGCCGTCAAAACGCAGGAAATCCGAGGTATGTGTCAAGGTCCTTGCTCCGATGCTGCGTGTGCATACTGACAACTAGCTAGATGCTCGTTATCACGAGTATATTCAAGAAAAGCGTCGACGTCGCGAGGAAGACCGTCGCCGCGGACGCAAGGTTGACTCTTCGAGCGATGATGAAGATGATGGCTCAGATGAATCACCGTTGGCCATTGAAGCATCGTCTGAATCCAAGGCCATCCCGAAGGCCCCGGCGGATCCCGCCCCAGCAGCGGCGTGAACTGGGTACCAGTCGGAAGATTTCCTCATTCGAGATTCGCTTTCTCCTCTCGTTGTCTCTGTATAGTGATATCTCCGATGGCCATGTGATCTCATCTCAGTACCAATCAGGAGCGACACGATCGTCGCGAACGACAACAGAATGCGTAACGACAAGGCTCTGGATAGCAAGGGCGGTTCATGATTCGACTATTACAGCAGGTGCATTAGCTGTCTGTACGAGTGCGCTGGGGCGATCAAGCAATTGAGACTATCTCAATGCCTACTGGATTTACCGCATGCAGTGTACAGTCCTACTGTGCTATCATTTGAGGAGAGCCCAGGAGTGGAAAAGCTTCTGCCAGATATCCTCGCGGTCGAAGGAGGACAGATGCCATCTGGTCTTCTGACTATGTGCAAGCTATGGTGACACTGTGCCACCCGACTATTTCGCTGACTGGCTATGCTGCTACGCGTGCTCAGGGAGACCAACACCCAAGTCGTGGGTATCCGATACCTTGTGCTACAGGCGACCGAATCCGGTCAACCGAAGAGCACCTGGTGAGCAGAGTGACTTGTACATGTGGCCATGATTGTTGGTGTTGTGCAGCATGGTTGGATTTGAGTTCTGGTGAAAGACAGAGGATTGGCCTTGGTTTCTTCTGCAGGCGATCAAGACGATCCTTTCCCTGGATGGCATCCCTACAGTATATACGTTTACTTTTCGACGACGCCATGCATGTCTCATGTTTGTGTCTATAGTATATTCCCGGTGCAGTTTAGAACCTCTGCCTAGCGTTTGCGCAGAAATAAACATGATTTGTCAGACCCCAATTTTCTGATGTGAGCAAGGTAGCAGACCTATCTGGCATCTCCTTACCGAACTATTGGATGAACCTGTCGCTTGAGTTGATGTCTGACCCCGTACGAGGGGTGAAGCAACAGGGACTCGACGGGAAGGCAGGGACCAGGGGGTTTCACCTCAGCCACCCTGTCTTTTCTTCCTCCACCTATTTTGTTGGTATCTAGAGGATGCCCAAAAGTGGTCGCCACAGTCATTACCGGACACGGGAGGATTGTTCGACAAGTAGAAGATGCCTTGGATAGGTGATAAGCCGTGTCTTCGATTGCATCCAATGAATCAACTGCGGAACGAACGGAAATGGGGAATCATTGAAGTGACCACCCACCATGATGCTGGTAGTGTAGTTTAATCTTATCTGTCTATCAGCTATTGTTCATCGGAGGTAGATTAATTGGATTGAGAGTATTGCCGAATGAAGTATAATCTCAGTGCACCATCAAGCCAGTTGTCTAATTTCCAGATAGAAGCACTTCCCTCCCCTTCTCTCACGCAACAGTCTCGGCTCGATGTCGTAAGAGAACGAGTCGGGAGGCATTAAGTTGCAGGAGATAGAGAGAGAGGATACAAACATGCCCGTCCAAAGAAGCAAAAAGAAGGCCGCAGATCCTCGACGAGAGCAGAACACCACTCAAGCCCAGACCTTCCTTTTGAAACATGTCACTCCATACTCCCAGTAAGGGGGAGGGGGATATCCATCGGACTGTGGATTGCTTTTGCCGTCGTTGCCCTCTCTCTCTCTCTCTCTCTCTCTCTCCTCTTTCTGCGTGATGAATGCCGATCATCACATCATGCCAAACACCGGTATACCGTTGGGCATTTCCAAAATGAGGGGGCCGGGGAATGTTTGCGACGTTCGTTGTCAGCTAGATCGTGCGTTTTTTTTGACGGCCGTGTTTGCTTTCTTGGTAGCCGGCTGATGATGATCTTCGAGGCGTGTGTGTTGAGATTGGGATCAAACAAACGCTAACCGTTGTTTGGAGATCCACTGGCTGGCTGGGGGATTAGCCTGATTTAGTTAGGGTCGAGTTGAGCTGAGTGGTTGTTTGATTGCTGGCTTGGGAGGTGTTGCTGCTTTTTTGAGACGGGTGTCGGGGCATGAGGTTGAAGATGTAGCAGGTGGGGTGGTGGTGTTTGGGTCTCTGTCTTGAGGGGTGATTGCCCTGGCGCTTTGGGGACGCTGTCTTGGGAAGGGGAAGGGGAAGGGGGTAGCGATGCGGTTGATAGCATCCCTACCGTGGGAGGATTCATCTTCTCTAGAGAGGACTACAGTATCGAGGCGACGGGTGTACAGGATATTGGAAAGTGGTAGGATAGGATCAGTACGTACTCTTTCTGTATACTACCGTGAGTGCTCAGCACAATAACATTATACCTAGGTACTCAATCCAAGCAACCCACCCTTGAGCATAGAACGGACAATCCAATCCTTCCCCACCTCTACATCATCCCCAGAAGTACACTCACTATATGTTGAGGTAACTACAGTATAGTATCAAACCTCTCCCCTGAGCAGAGCAGGAGCAGGGAAACCTTGGAAAAAAAAATAACCCATTGCCACACACACTAACTTACCATTGCCATCGCAAGCATCCCCTTCCTTCCCTCCCTAATCCCCTCCACCGTTCGTCCCCCTGAAACCTGACAAACAATCCCATTATGCTATGCTGATTGACCATGCTCATCGCATCTCTCATCCTTACCTGACCTTAACACCTCCCTGCTTCCCGCCTCAGCCACTGTGCACACCCTAGAACCATCCTCATGCCGGTCAGAAAACACGGATATTATACAACACATCCACACGAATACAATCCATACACAAACCAGCAGCAATATTACTACCGCGAAGGTAGAGTCTAACGCCTAACTAATCGAGAATCTAGGCCAAAGTCCAGTCCCCACTAGATACGCCTGTTTGCCTGTCTTGTCTGCTTACCTGCCTGCCTGCCTGCTTGCTTACTACTTGCATCCCCACCATCCTTGCCCACATGCATATTCCTACACACACCTTCATCCACCCCAACACCCGCGACGCAACACGATAAAACAAAATCGCAATCAGACAGCAAAAATCTCCACTCAACTAGACAGCGGGATTTGCAAAGACCAAAGACCAAAGATCAAAGAGGGGAATAACCTGACCTGACCTGACAGAGAATTGGGGGTTTGTCCTGTCTAGGAAAGAGATCTTCTTCCCCCTCCGTTCCGTTCGAATGTTATTGCCTACAGGACTGGAAGGGGGGGCTTTATTTTATACTTTCTTTGTTTGTGGACTTCATCTTTGGATGATGCTGAGCAGGTCGGGGTTTGAGATCGTTGTTCCCCCCCCCTTTTTTTTTTGTGAGGGACGGAGTTGGGAGTTGAGTGATGGGACGGTGGTCCGGTGTTTTTATTGTTGTTGTCTTTGAGATGGGGGTGCTACTATGTAGAATTTGTCTGTCTATAGTTAGGTTTAGTTGTTGATGTTAGAGGGGGAAGGGGCTTAGATGCTCCTCCGAGTAAGAGAGAACTATCCAGTTGGTAGGTTAGCGAAAAGTGACTATTAGCTAGTCTCTGGCAACGTAGTCTTCGGTCCGTAGTGCTAGATTGCAGCAATCATACAGTAGCTCTAGTAGCCACTAACTAACTAAAAGCTGAACCACACCTTCCTCATAATAATGCACAATTAGCACGATCCCTAAGGGAAAAGGAAAATCCACCCCCCTCAACTACACGGACTACTCCGTACCTTTTACACTTTACACTTTACACTTCACCTACTCCCACATCAAAAGTCCCGTATACGTATGCGTATAACCGCAAACCGGGAACGGAAACGCCTAGACCCAAAAAGTATAAACAGCAACTGATCCTCTTTTCCTCATCTCATCCCCAATCCCTCATCCCTTCCCTTCCCTTCCCTTCCCTTCCCTTCCCTTCCCTTCCCTTCCCTTCCCTTACGGCGGGAGCACCCACAGTACTAAACCAGGATATCCCATCGTAGTCGACAATCACCCGTTCTTAGCCGCCGTCAGTGCGTAGGGGATTTTCCCGGGTCCAGACGGTCAGTCAAACTCATGGACCCATGGACCCATGGTAAACCCGGCAGCCACACACAGAAAGGAAATTAGGACCGACATGCCCTATGCACCTAACCATGTATGTTCCATGTGGAATGGACCGCTGTCAGACCAGGGAGGGGATGGGAGAAAGTTTGGGCAAGGTGTGAGGGGTGAAAGGGGGTGGAAGGAGGAGGAGGAGGAGGAGGAGGAGGAGGAGGGCCATTTCATGGCGGTTTACCTTACCGTCTTTCCTTGTTTGTTTGTGCCTTTCTGTAAAGTCACTAACGGTAAAAACGGGATCTAACTGTCGAGGTACAGTGCTGATGGGGGAGGAGAAAGGCCTGGGCCCGTGACATCCTTCTTGTCTGGTTCGCACGGTGATCGGGTTAATTGAGTGGAGTGAACGGAGTGGGTTTTGCTAGGCTAGCAATTCTTCCGATTGTGGTGGACAGACAAGTAGGAAACTGGTTCACCACCCACAATGGAGAACGAGACTCCATTTCCGCGGCGGATGGTGGGGCCGCACAGCCGGTCACTGCGACTAAGTTACTTTCCCACTTAGGGCTCGGACGGGTACGTTTTGAACAGACAGAGGGGGATTGGCAGACACGGTGTTTACATATCATCTTCAATCATGATTGAAAAGTGGAAGCTCGGGACTCATCGGATTTCCCTGGCGATAAGTTAGAGCTCTGTGAAAGATCAGTCGCACCGAGGTAAGAAGGATGCATGGGAGTACTGTACGTACAGTCACAATTCCTGCCATAGTCCTAACTCCCAAATAGGTAGGTCGATAGCGACAGTGCAAGCAAAGAAGCCACCACTTACGTAGCCCCTCTAATTTAATCCGGAGATTAGATCGCAAACAACAATCGTCTCCAATGAGAATCCCACAGCGGGATTAACATCGAATCATATTGCTCGCTTGGAAGCCAGCAAAACTGGCAACTGACCTAAGGATGATGATGGTCAATAAGCAGCAGCAGCAGCAGCATCACAACGGCAATAGTCGGTTGGCTAGTCGAGAGCAAGCAAATAAAGCAGCAGAGTTATTCTTCGGATTCGAGCCGGGTTTTCACAGTATATCCGGGCGAAACTATAGCCACAACCCGGCCCCTCCAATCCTGTTGGCACATCCACCACACCCACACTAAACCTTCGACGGTTGACCGGGCACGGCGTCCGCATGAGTCCGACTCCGACGAGGGCCAGTCCCTCTCGTAGCTCCGGGAGCCCTGAGATTCAATCACTTAATCAAGCCCCGTACGCAGTCTCCGCTATGCTGAGGTTATCATAGGGCCCTCCTTCATCAACAACCAGGCTGATTCTCCTGCCGACTAAAATAACGCTCCGTGCCCGGACTGAGGCGGCTACAGTGCGGAGAAAATTCCCACCCTCCCCTTGGAGCAGAGAGTGGCGTTAAAGGCAAAGCATTCTACTACTGGATGTGTATGTGCCAAAATCTCCCCTCCGAGCCAGCTAGGGCCAGTTTGCGGTTCCGTCGGAGAGGGGAGCTTATGTAAAATGACGCCTTCGGTAGCGATCGGCCTTGGATGGTCTAGAATAGCCCGGTTGGGAGTCTGCTTGCTTGTTGATGTATGGTGGTTTAAGTGCTCTAGCTCCTGTTGCCCGTTGCTATTCCACGGAAACGTTGGATGTTGTTCTCTTTCAAGTTCGAGTTTAACCTGCCGCTGACTCATGGGGTCCGTACAACGTGCGACGCAACAAAGAAGATGCGCGTAAGCTTAGTCATGAGGGCAAGAAACCAATCTGTTGATGAGCAGTGCGCTTCCCAGGGTGGAGAAATACCTCTTTTGCGTTGCGATTGCCTGCTGGTAGAGCAAGCAGATCGAGTCAAGAGAGCCAGCCGGCTCCAGAACAAGTTGATGGGTCTATACCATGTTTGTATAGAGCACGTTCGCTTTCTCGGCCCTTCCCATGGAAGATGGGGCCGCAGATATGGAGAACAGACGGAGCCGATCCGGCCGAAGTCGAGACCTCCAGAAAGTGCTAGGCGGACCATGTCTGAGTGAGTAAAGTGAAACAAAACAACCAAAGCCAGCGGAGCTCCAGCGGGAGAAGCCTTCGGTGGCTAGATCGCGATCCACGCGCAAATCATGTCGGAAAGTATCGGTCCTTGTCGATGCTAGAGGGTTGCTGCTAGCCTGCTAGCCTGCTGTTAGATTGGAGCCGGAAAAATAACTCATTCCAATCCCACCCACGCTTTTCCTCTTTTTTTTTTCTCTCTTTACCGTACCCTCCTCCCCCGCGGGATGGTTGCATTCGGGGAGATTAGACACCCGCCATGGGGAACAGGAACCATATCCACCATCCCCTCCCTCCCCCGAAAGTAAAAAGCCTCCGTTCTTTCCATGGTTCGCTTCCTCCCCGTGATTTGAAATCAAAGGACATGAGGAGAATAGAGTAAGAGGACAGAATTTAGAAAGAATGAAAGAGATAAAGAAAGAAAAACGCGATCGGCACCAGAGTGCCGAACGCCAAGGTACCAGTTGAGTACCAAACATTTGCTCTTGTCCGGATTTAGCAACCCGAGGGGTGGGTGAGCTGCGACAGGACTAAGGCAAGTCAGTCGACCACATCCCTAGGGCTGGCCGCTGTCTCCTGCCAAGAAGGACCGAGCCGATCAAGATTGCATTCACCCCAGTCGAGATACTCTCCATGGAGAGGTGATGTGGATGTGGATGTGGATGTGGATGTGGATGTGGATGTGGATGTGGATGAAGACAAGGTAGTTGAAGTGGGATGCACTGAACTGACAATCGCGGGAAAGCCGACGCCGGTCCGTCCGTAAGGGAAGGAAGGAAGGGAGGGAGGGAGGGAGGGAGGGAAGAAAGGAAGAGGAAGGTGCATGGTGGTATCGTACTGTACTTCGTATGTATGTGAGTATTGTGTATGGTAATATACACAGCGCATACACTACATGCTAACTATATGGCCAGCTGCCACCTTTGCTCGATGGATGTTTACATGCGCAGAATCGAGCGGATATCAGTACGGAGTACACTACTCTCATTTTCCACAATAGAATAGGTTAAGAACAAGGACAAGTAGGCAAAGTATGAATGTACACAGGTAGCTTCAGTCAGCCTGGCATGCGTCCGTAGACTATGATGGGTATGTATCATACACGAAATGGGTAGACCAGGCAAACTAATAATTATTCCATAGCGACTGGCTGCGAGTTGACACCAAACATCTGGTGGTCTCCAGAGCTATCCTGCATCCAGCTAGTCTTCAGAGGGAGTGACGATGTGATGATGATGGCTAGTCTGCCACCCTAACTTAGGAAACGGCCTCGACGGAGGCTATCACAGACTAATATTAGCCCAGTGGGGTCGGCCTGCGGGGCGAACTTGCCAGTGGTCGGCCCTGATTGAAGTCACGGCTTTTACCGTAGGTGCTAGGCTATGTCCTTTTCATGAGTGGCATGAGACTCCAGAATGATTGTCGCAGAATCCCCTCCTCAGAAAAACATATTCAAAGATGATGCCGGTGATGACGTTGATTGACAAGTCAATTCACGGGGTTGGAAGGCAAAAAACAGGGAAAATGGGGAAGCAGAGGAACACGGCCTGCACATTGAACTCTGTCTAAGGGACAAAGAAGCAATTTAATTGATGAGACCATTTTCCCCGGCAATTGAAGCGAGCCGGATGATCCTCCTTGAGGTTCAAGATGTGGGCAGACGTGAGCCCTCAGTGTCCCTAGTCTTTTCGAGATAAGTGAACGGTGAGACAGGGGTCCGGGGGCTTAGTATGGGTGTTTAATGCGATGGCCAACGTGATGTGCATATTACCCCCCAGCCGCCGATCACTACCCGGAAGCAAGATTCCAGGTTTGATCAGAGACACGCCCGGGGGTTTGACAAATTTGAAAGGCAGAACATGATAGACAAAGGAGAAGGGTGAAAGAAAGCCAAGGGAAGCTAAAGA